TATTTAGGACAACAAACGCGTGTAACACGATGTCCATCGAGCCAATCAGCTTTGCTCCTGGCGTATGCGCTGGCACAATTGGCTGGTGACCCAGTGATTTAATGTAGCTTGACATTTAAATTATTGATTGATTGACTGTCCGCATGCATCGCCGCCTGTAGGCTGCTCGATAGCCTGCTGTGAGCGCGGCTGCTTGCTGCATGCTACCTGCCTGTTATGTTCCTCCTTACTAGTTCGTCATCTGAGGCGATGATTGGGTTCAAATGTCTGGCACGGCGTGAACATGCGCCTAGGCCTATCACCACACCGAATTTTGCATGTACATTATCTGGCATATCTTCTAAAAATATTTTTAGATTAACAAAATGATATTAGAAATCGGTGACCATTCCAAATGCACCGACGTAGTAGGTTGTGCTAATGACCCTTGACTTCGAACTCGAATAAAACTGACAGGATACCGAGAATGAGCACAAAAAATTTAAAAATATGCACGAGAATTGGGAACTATTCCGCATTTATCAAACTACCGACGTAACATGTCCTGTAAATGGCACGGTAACTCGATCTGAAGTAGTTAAGTCTTCAAGTATTTCACAGCAGATTTCGCGTGAAGTTTTCGATCGGAGCTGCAACTGTTCTGATGGTAGTTTTCGCAAAAGACCAGTTGTGGAGAAATCCTGATACCGGTTGCAGCGTGATGTTCAGTTTGGTGGCCAGTATGCCGATGTACACGTCCTCCAACCGAAGAGGCTTCGTGAAGGCTGCGACAATGGATAGGGCCTCAACAGCCTGTGCTCCGATGACATAGCAAAATCCCCACATATAATTGGGCAAGGCGACGTAGGGGTAGTCGTCTTGAGCGAGGGCATACCTATGACCTCGAGTTCGGATGACGTAATGTAAGGGACTGACGTAACCAAAGGCTTGCCTGAGAAGATCCGAACGGGAGAAATTCGCAAGCGAGTCCAGGAGACCCTGCAAACTGAGCCCATATTCGTCATCCATGAAGACGAACTGCGGCGAAACACCCCGACAAAGGGTATGGGCAAAACGCAGATTGATGATGGTCTTGAGCGTGAGATTTTCGTAGGTATCCATAAAATTCGTCAACAGAATGTCATCAAAGAGCTCCATTTCTGTGGTGATATTTTGAAGGATTGGTTCGTCGGGCGCCATCTGTTGAAACTCACGAGGGAGGCCAATGCTAAAGATGAGACCCACTGCAAACGGCAACTTGCTTGTCTGGTTGTGGATAAATCCACGGAGACGACTTCGGGCCTGAAAGTTCTGTGTAGCGCTCTTTACGATCACCAAAAACCGGTAGACCTCCTTACCTCGTTGGTCCTCGGTGCAAACCGTTTTGCTGACTTTGAGGACTGTAAGCCTTGGGTTATTTATTGGTTTCTGGTTAAAGAGAAAGCAAATGTGAAATGAAGGCTTTACTTATTACGAAAATTATTGGGGAAATTTACTGCAACGAAATTGGGCTTCTTTACCCATGCTATAGCAGACGTGGTGCATTCCTAAAACTTTCCACTAGTACATTAACTTTACGCGGGTGGGACTTGGATGTCAATTTAATGGCTCACTTTTATAAATATAAGCACAGGCCAAGGCGATAAACTCGGGGCTATTTAAGCATTGAAGGAGAAAATGCTGCAAAAGTCCAGCTTTAGAATTTATCATGCTCGTTATGGGCTGCCAATTTTATTTACGAATCGGTTCGGTAAAAGGGATGGGAGAATCCTACTTTGGGTCCCAGAAATTCTTTAAATAGTCTAATGCTTTT